TCATCAAATCATCAGCAGCTGTAAATTATCCTGATTATTTTGTCCCTATGGTACATAATAAATGTATTTATAGCCTCTGAAAACACAATTTCCAATCTAAAGTATTCTCTATAACATTAACATAATATGATAAATCAAATTTAAATCATCTTTAGTTATGATTTGTTAAAAGTTAAACACACAGTATGCAATTTCTGCCACTAGGAGATCTCTCACGTCAAAATAATAACAAATAACGTCATGAAGTAGTGTGGGATTATGGGAGTTCTTGTCTTTATTCTTAAACAACCTCCATTTCTGATGAAAGTCTATCTGTGACAAGTTGTTCACGGGCGAGAAAAAGTCTCTGATGTATTTACCTGAAAGTTATAGCAACTAAAGGTAAGTAGGAAATGCACCTTTACCTGATTACAGATTTTGGGGGATTTGAACATTGTTGGAGACCTTTGGGATAACGTAATACACAACACACCACAAAATATATAACATAGGTTTAGACGTCTTTACACATTTTAACACAGAAATGTTACATATTATATCTTTAAAGGGGAACTGATTTTACACAGTTGCCCACTCCTCATCTCTGCTCAAAGCTACTTGAGCCACTACTAGCTTAACACCCAACACTGCAACAGAACTGTCTGCTTGAGTTGCATTGTGGGTAATAAAGGCCCTAGGTTGTGCCAAGAAAGAAGATTGTGTGGAATAAAATAATATGATATCTGAATAACACTCTTTTAAAGGCTCTAAAGACTTTAAAGACATTAATCTGCTTCATGAGGACTGCGTTGGTGCGGTCTGATCAGATTTGATTGACAGGTTGGGCAGAGTCACATAAACAACCCAACAACTAAAATCACTTTCTGATTGAAATATTGTAAAATCCTGATGCGTGTGCATGACATCACCTTTTTACAGCTGATGTCATGCACACATCAAACCAGTGAGCACTGATACAAACACAAACACAGTTCAAACTTTGGCAGAAAGTTGTCTTGTAGAAACTGTGGTTAACAGCAAGAAGCTGCTTGAGAAATCAGTGTTCAGGGCCTTTAAAGTGCACTATAATGACAGCACATACAGTATGAGGGACTCCTGGAGGGCAGGCCGGATGCTGAGGGAGCCACACTCCCTATTTTATGCTGAAGGACGGGTGAAGATGATATCGCTGTTTAGAATCTAAACTGAACTCAGGACAGGAAACAATTTAAGACTTTGAGGAGAGATGAATTTGCCTCTGCATTGTTGCAGTAATCACTGTCTCCCTTTTTTTGGCCTAATAATCTGTGATGACACAGAAGGGGTCACAAACCAAAAAGGTAGAGAACTGCTTAGATTATAGCATTATTTGTGTGCAACTGATGCATTTAGGTTTGTTGATATTCAGCTGAAAACACACAATCTAATCATCATATATCTAGATCTATACATCACATGTTTACTGACTTCTGACACACATTTTTCAGCAAATCTCATAAAAAAAAGACTGTTGGGGTTTCATTTGTCCAGTGATATCCAATGAACCATAAATAAGTTCTTAAAAAATCAACTTTTTAAGGACAAAGCTCCAGCAAGCAGCAACCTACCAGCTGAATCCCCAGTGCTGATCCAGTCCGGGTTGGCGATGCTGGCGATGGCGAAGATGTCTGCAGTGAGGAAGAGGCATCCTGATATCACGGTGAGTTTATCCATGTCGGTGGACACAGGTGGAGGTCTGAGTGTTTCTGTGCCTCTCTCTCTCACCTAGAGGGAGGCGGGACATTTAGGAGTCAGCGACCTAAACCCGTATCTGGTGTCCCATCATCCCAGCCTGCGTTAAGGAACTCGCTGTGACGGTGATGGGCTCAGTTTGATCCACGATCTGTCCGCACATCGTGTTTGATTCCAGGCAGTGAGATAGGCGAGATGTTCCCTCAAAGTATTCCCTTTCATTAGTCCTCCAGCAGCCGAGCCTGGCTCGACCTGTTGGCCCTTCTCCAGCCCAGGAGGAGAGGATCGCTGCCCGGGCTCATGGGCTTCTTCCTAGCTCCGGATGCATCCCGGTGACATTCCCAGAAAGCGGAGTAAAAGAACACAAATCGTTTGCTTTAATCGGATATTATGGGAGCTGCAGTGGAGACGGATTCATGGATGCAGTCCACTTATTTCCTGAGTCTGCACGGAGCCCCCGAGCTCTCTCTCCCCCCATATGGAAGCGGTTTCTCTCCTCTGGACGCACAGTCGCACACAGGCGGAAGAACGCCGCCCATGCTCAGCTCAGAGCGCCTCTTCTGGTGCTTTAACCCGCACACTCACGCACAGTAACGCAGTTTATAAAGCCTCTTTTTAAAAGCTTCTGAGTGCACAGCAAGTGTGCTTTCTGCAGGACAACGCTGTCCTCTCCCAGCAATGGAAACTAAAAATTCAGTCAGCTCGCGTCTCCATGTCTGTGGGCAACTCTCGCGAGAACACTCCTAAAAAGCCAACGCTCCTGGTACTTTTTGCATCAGCATAAATTATGTAAACAGTATTACAAATGAGTTGCTACACATCTGGGGAACATTTTAGGTTACACTCCTGCAGTCAAAATCTCGACCCAAGGTCCACTTACTCGCTTTCAACTTTATTACAGTCTTCATTTGCAGCTCGCTTTCCTCTGATACAGCCAAAAGCTCCAGAAATAGACCTTCATTTAGGATTGTGAAGCTCAAACTCATACATGTTATAGTAAACGTAATAACACCACAACAAACACTTTAAAACTCTGTAAGGTAGATAGAATTTATTCAGTATTTTACATCAGCTATACAGTAAATGTGGACAGATGAGTAGACCAGGACACTGATGTGCCAGAGCAGCATCACCTGAAAATATACTGTTACAACACCTATAAATACCCAGTGGTGTTATGACATTATAAGTCTCAGGACCACAGCATTGCAAAAAGGTGATGATGACCTTTCTGGGTTTTTTTTTTGTCAAAATGTAAGAGGAAACAAATTCTGCTTTGCCGTCAAGAGTTACAGTACGAGGTGATGAGGGGGGCTTTAGATCTCATCCACGAAGGGTGTTTTTACGAGGTTGCCGCTGGATGCCATAGTCTTCTTGCCAGACACAAATTTCTTGGCAGCCTGGGAATAAAAAGAAAAGAAATTTAAGTTTTCACACAACAAATGAAGCAAATCCTAATATCATTATCCAACTGTAGTAAATATATAAAAGCAGAACGATCAGCAAGCACTGACAAGAACCAAATGTCTTACGTTGGCGACATCGGTCAAAGACACGTTGTCGATTTTTTTGGAGATTTCCTCCGGGGAGCAGTAGGTTCCCTCAGCCAGAGCCTGAGTGCCCATGGCCTCCAGAAAACCTTCTGAAGTCTCCAGAGACATCAGGAACTGCCCCTTTAGCTGGGCCCTGCAGAGGAAACAAAGCCCTTCATAAAGATACGATAATGCAAAACACAGTAGTAGGGAAACATTTAACTTGATGTATTTTCTTCTAAATGTTAAGTATGAGGTGGGAGAGGAGGTGCGATGTTTTAATTAGTCCAGGTTTTTACTTTTTTAAAAAAATCTGTGTACAGTGCCAGTTTGACAAGTAACCAGTCCAGTGTAAGAATTTGGCTTCATGGCATAAGAAAACAAAGAATGGCACCACCGCCAGGCACCAAGGGGCAACTGTCTCATTAATAAAAACTTGGAACAGCAAGAAACTGCCTGAGACATGAGACTCTGGATTTCAGTTTCTTATTGTAGGCGGATAAACAAACATACAAGAATTATACTTCAGTTTTTTTTTATTTTTTTTTTACCCATTTTGAAATGAAAAATAAATAAAATTTAAACTAGTACATCTCCACCAACCAGTCAAGTTGCCGTTTACATCCATGTCTGTCCAGATTCATGTAGTGAAGACTTTGAAGGAATTATATATATATTTTTAAAAAGGTATAAAAAGTACATTTTGGCTAAATAGAAGTTATCACCATATTGATGAAGGATTATCATGTGATGTATTGGCTAAACAGGTACATGTACTTGATTTTTATGTAAAGCATGTCTTGTAGATAGATGTGGTGGAGGATGCCTCGAAAATGAGATGCCAGCATCTCAAGGGGCCTTGAGATGCTTTCAATAAATTAAAATTCTCCTGGCATTCTTTATTTTATGGGCCTTTTTCCCTTTATGAGACAGAGCATCTGAGGGTGGACAGGAGGGTGGGGGGGGAGAGAGAGGATGACTCAGCAAAGGGCCACAGGTTGGATTTGAACCCATGTTTGCTGTAGCAAGGACTCAGCCTTTTGTGCATGGGGCGCTGGCTCCACCAGGTGAGCTATCCAGGCGCCCCCTCCTGACATTTTTTATCCATATGAAGATTTCCACACACTTTAAACAAAGAGACTGATGTGGTGAGCGGAGCTGTGTGTGGAGGGGAAGGCAGCAGATATTGCCACAGTTGGAAAAAACGTCACAATCTTATGATCACAACGATTCTTATTTTCAGGTGATTATACACTAACTAACTTAATTTTCTGTCAATAGATCCTCCTAAATGTTACACAGTGGACATTTAATCTGTATAGAAATCAATGTGTAATTGCAACATTTAATTTCTTTTTTACATGTTATGTGCAGTACAATTTCCTTTTATCTTTGGACAAAGGAGCTAGGGTAGCCATTTCCCTCTGTTTCCTGTCTTTATTCTAAGGTAAGCTAACCTGCTGTTTGCTCCAGGTACATAGTTACCATACAGAAGGTACAGGGGTATAGCCTTCAATGGCTGATCGAAATATACTTCAGTGCAACCTATTTAATGCTTTCTTAGCTTGGCTCTCATCCACAATGTTTTACCACTAACCCCACTTTGGTGGCGTTTATTGGAAACTAAAATATAAAATTGGATTTCTCAATGGATTCATAATTTAGATTACGTGTTAAAAAGAGGCATCATATCAAAGTTTCTGTCTGCTTGTCTTACTTGGCCTGAGTGAGGTCAGCAGCTGTGACTCCACCATCAGCCACAGCCTTCACCTGGGCGAGAGCGGCCTTAATCACCTGGAAGGACAGAGATTACATCAAGACCCTTTATCAGTTTAATTTTGACCACAAAAAAAGACTTTTACTTGCTTTTACTTTGTTGAACAGTTTGTGGTGAGGAATTGACTCTTGCCGTAAGTGTGGGATACTCACATCACCAGCAACTGCAGCCTGGGAAATGGTGTAGACCCCAAACAGACCAGAGTCGGAGTAGCTTGTATTAAAAGCACTGACCTGATAAAAAAAAGAAATAAATGAAAATGTTTTTACAAGTACTGTTGCAATTATGATACAATATTTGTAGAGAAGGTTTAGCGTTTTTATGGTTAAGATGCACAAAACACTACTGTAGTCCCACCCTGAGCCAGTCAAGGCCTTGGTATATAAACTTTATATTACAAACTGACTCACATCAAAGGGGTCAGCAGTGGCCTTAGTAACACCCTGGACCAGTTTGCTGGAGGTGCATGAGCCCCTCTTAACATGCGGACCAGCTCCCAGTAAATGCTGCAGGACACTGAAGGCCAGAGCCTCGCTGGAGCCGGCTGCTGCCGACTGGCTCACCACCGCTGAGTGGACCATACTGCTGGTGTTGGGCAAACGAACCTCACCTGGAGAGACGCAGAAGAGGATGAGACATGGAGGCAATACAGGGTGTTACACTGACTTTGGTTGGAAGTATTAAAGCTGGTGTGTGATTAACATGCAGATTTGTGGATGGCGGTTCGGCTCACCTCCACGATACTGAGCCGTGGCCCCTGTGCTGCCTGCACCACTGCGGATGTTGAGGAATTGCTCCCCAACTTGCTTCAGCACTGTGTGGTCGACACCTGAAGAAAAGACAAACATCATAACCTTAAAGATCTTTTGGGCATTAGGAATAAACAGAGCATGTTTTCGTTAATAGTGGAATTTAAACACAACACTGATATCATTACAGGGTAATTACGCTAATGAGCCTCACCAAGTCCAACAAGAGCCATTCTTGCGCTTGTGAAATTGTTCTGGACAAACTGGTGTAGCTGGAGAAAAATACAAACATTAGAAAGAGAGTTTCAATGAGGATAATAACACCATAAGTCTTAAAGAATAAAAATACTTACATCGTCAGACTGGATGTTGCCAACCATGTGGTTGGGGCAGTATAGGGAGTTACAGAGAGCATTCTTGTAGGCAGCTCCATGCAGACTTTCAATCACACCTGGTGGACAGACAGAGGAATGATCATGAACTGCAATATTCTAATGCTAAAGCTAAAATCTGTGATGGGTTCCTAATTGATAAATCATTATATCTGCCTGTGTGGTGGCGACTCAAGAAACAGTTGTTAGATCTGATGAGCCTAATTCCATCCACTTTTGTAAATGACAAATGTATTGACAAAATTAATACATTTTGGAAATTACCAGACATTTGATAAAAATGTTCACGTAAAACTAGATCAAAACATTTCAGAAAGCACGCTAGTGGGAATAAGAAGTTAGTAGTTCTATGATCAACCAGTGTGTAACATAAAAAAGTCAGATTATTGCTGGCCATATAGTCTGTTTGTGCACTGTAAGGGAAATACAGGCCCACCTATTTGATCACTCTGTGCAGCCATGGCCTTGTCCAACTTCACTCTGGGCGTGAGGTCTGACACCTCCCATGGCCGGAACTCTGGGGCTGTTGTCACGTTGATCAGATACTCCATAACTGTGTCACTGCAGACAAATAACGTAAAAAATGGAGTGCTGAAACGGTGCCATCATCCCGCTTAACATGAAACACACCTGCAGCCTAATCTGCCTCGCCCGTGAACATCCCAATGTACCAAATAGTAACTGTTTCAGAAAACGTATGATGCAAGAGACCGCTGTCACATTATGCGGTAATGTAACTGACATCAGCCACACTTCTTTGTGAAGAAGCAAAGTGTTGAGTGAGTACTGATTCCTCCTCCTTGTACTACAAACATTTTTATCACCGTCCATGTTCAGACTCACATGTCATCTCTCAAACAGTCAACGGTGTAGATCATGTTCTCCCTGGATGAAGACACACTGCAGAGAAACACAAGCGTACAGATATCCAGATAAGAATACCGAGCAAGAAAGAAACTTCAGTTGTTCGTTGACCTTTCTTGGAGGTTACTGACCTCAGGCTGCCTCCAACTGCCTCAACACCACGGCAGATCTTGAAAGCTGAAGCTCCTTTGGTTGTCTGGAAAAACAGAAATGCCAACAAGTCATCACCAAGCTGAGACAGAAGCCAAACATTCATGCTAAGTATACACTGGATACATTCTCACTCTTGTATGTATTATCATACCAGGTTGGAGGCCAGCCGTAGGAGGTGGGTGACACCCTGATTCTCAGGGGTCTCATAACGACATCCAGCCTTGATGAACACTCCGATCTTGGAAGCTGGGGAATAGTTCTCCAGGGAGGCAATCACCAGTCCGCTGGGCAGCCTGGTCACCTGGCAGAAAGACACATATGTGTTTAAGTTTAATAATTTATATCAAGTATAGACATGTAGTTAAAACATGCAAGCTAATGAGAATAATACATAAATATTTAACTACTCTCTTCATTCTCAGACCCAAAACCTGGACCCAGCCAAACCCCAGCCCCCCCCAACATACATGGACATCCTGGTAGGAGTGGGCAGCCCCTGGAGAGAGCTTGAGGCCAGCCAGGGGCTGAGACAGGGACTGGCCTGTTCTGGCAGCCGCATAGAAGCGTCTCTGTGGAGAAGAAAGACAAGTCAACAACCACTGACCTGAACATCCTGCGGCTGAAACTTAACATGTTCGGCGGCCCCAGTGAACTCCACTTTACGGGCAGCCTGGGCCGCATAAAGCCTGGTCTGAAAAAAACAAAACAAAAGAGAGAACATGGAAAGTCGGGACATAATGCGTACAGCTAATGCGTTGCTGGTTTGCCGACTGATGCGAGGGCAGATTGGGGAGAAAGGAAATCAGAGGCAGGACAGATTATGAAATGGTGGCATCATTTAGGTTAGAAGTACGCTGATCATACACAACATACTTTCACAAAACTATGAACTTTATTCAGTCTGTAAATGTTTAACGGAGGTGGACAGCCTACTAGTATCAGATGTGATCAACATCCCAAAAACAGCTATTTAATGGCCTTGTCTTATAAGGTAAATGATATTGACAGCATATGTTAAATCAATAAGTTAGTATTTCCTTACATTAAAACCCTTGTGTCACACCGATCCACCACAAACTGGTTGTTGAGCTGGGATTTGTGTTTTCTCTCCACCTTTAGGTTCCTTTATGTTACACTCGCAAACAGTGTTTTTCTTTTGGTTACTGGTGATGTTGTTCAAAGCCAAACACAACTCAGTTCTAATAAGGTAAAGGAAAAAATGGTGCAATACATTAAAATAGGTTTGTTTATGTTCAGAGCCGCACAAGCTTCAGCTCGCGTCAACATTAGAGGTGGAAGAGATGGTCACTTCTCTCTAATGCACCTTAAGTTTCCAGTAGTTCTAATGTTGTGATAACACGACGAGTGACTGGTGTTCATGATGTAACGTTATCGGTGCTGGGTGAGCACAGCTGGCGCTTCCTCGTCTGCTCTTCACCCCACTTTGTCCGGTGACCCTGAGTAGTTTCGCCCCCCTCGGAGGGAATCGGTCGGTTAACGTGAGCACTTCCTGTCCCGACACAGACACATATATTAGGTTAGTTAGCTGAGCTCTTACCGATAGCTGGCTGAGTCCCCGGATCCCCTTCATCTCCCCTGTCTCCTTCAGTCAGGACGGTGGAGCAATAATGGCTGGCGTCAAAGTGCCCTACCCGGAATGCACCGCGCGGTTATCTTCCGCAAAAGTACCGCTGAGGCTTTGAGCGAGCGCCCCCTGCTGCTGCGGAGGGGAACAACGTGTGGCACAATAACATTATTTCACCCTGTGGACACTGCTTGAGGTAAAAATAAACTTTTAAAAATAACATCACAATCTGGCCCCTTGTCAAAGTCGCTCAGATCCTCACGCTGCCCATTTTTCCTGCTTCTAACACATCAACTTAAAGACAAAATGTTTACTTGCTGCCTGATATTTCCCACCCACTGACAGGAGCCATGACAACCAGATAATCAGTGTTATTTACTTCACCTTATGTCAGTGCTCATCATGTTATGTCTGATTGATGTATATATATATATGCTTATATATACGTATAAGTATCACAAAGTAAGTAACTTATTTACTCCTTGTTACTTTGGGATTACCTCAACACCAAATATGCAAATTAAAGAAGCATTGATGCAAGTGTATTCTAAGACAACAGAATAT